TTGTCTTCAGCTGGCTAAAGAAGGAGCCTCTCCACCCCCCCAGGATACTTGAAGGAAACTGGAACAAAGGACAGTAACTACAGGGGGTGTAAGTGATTGCTGGACCCAGGCTAAAAGGAAATTAGCCTGTAAAAGGGAGCATTCTGGAACTGGTGAGGATCTTATCTGTATTTAGTTTGATTAGACATAGATTTGCGCATTTTCTTTTATTTTGCTTGGTAACTCTACTTTGTTCTGTCTGTTACTGCTTGGAACCACTTAAATCCTACTTTCTGTATTTAGTAAAATCACTTTTTACTTATTAATTAACTCAGAGTATGTATTAATACCTGGGGGAGCAAACAGCTGTGCATCTCTCTCTATCAGTGTTATAGAGGGCGAACAGTTTATGAGTTTACCCTGCATAAGCTTTATACAGGGTAAAACGGATTCATTTGGGTTTAGACCCCATTGGGAGTTGGGCATCTGAGTGCTAAAGACAAGCACACTTCTGTGAGCTGTTTTCAGGTAAACCTGCAGCTTTGGGGCAAGTAATTCAGACCCTGGGTCTGGGTTGGAGCAGACGGGAGTGTCTGGCTCAGCAAGACAGGGTGCTGGAGTCCTGAGCTGGCAGGGAAAACAGGGGCAGGGGTAGTCTTTGCACATCAGGTGGCAGCTCCCAAGGGGGTTTCTGTGATCCAACCGGTCACAGTGTTCACCTCCTTATATTTTCCTGACTATTGCACACTGTATTATGAATCTGTCACCACAGGTAACTGCCAGCTTTGACTTGTTAGGTAACCATCTAGCACTAATTTAGTATATTTCCCCAAGTCTTTACCAGTACCCCCAAGGGCTTCTGATGCTGTTCTGGCTCTTTTCCTCTTAGTTCCTATAAACCCCTTGCCCTATGCTCTCTAGGATTTGCACAGTGCTGTGTTTCTTGCTTGGAATGCCTGCCTTTCAATGAGCACTTTACGTGCCTGTGCACTCATACATCTACTAGTTGCCCTAGGGGAGGAGTGGAGGAATAGTGTTTGGGGTCACATAATGGCTGTCCTCTGGACCATGCACCTTTGGCTCAAGGCAGACCCTTACTACTTTAAGGCAGAAGGGCCATCCGCAGAGCAAGAATTCACATTTTGACTTGGAAGTCCTCCCCAGCTTTGGATGGCATATACAGCCTGCCATCAGTATGGCAAGCTTTATTTATAGACTTTTCCGTAGCACTGAGTGCCTCACACATTCATTATCCTTCCAACACCCATCTGAGGTAGGGCTGTGATATTGTCAGATATCTTGCAAGCTAAATGAGGTCAGGCCTGGGCAGTACTTGTGAATGAGAGGCTTCTAGGGCAGTGGTTCTCAGCCTTTTTTTGTTTGCAGACCCCTAAAAAATGTTGAATGAAAACAGGGCCGGCTCTACCATTATTGCCACCCGGACTGTGCCGCCCCAAGAATGGACGGAGTGCCGCCCCTTAGCATGTGCCGCCCAGGGAGGTGCCTGGAGCCCTTAGCAGGTGCCTGGAGCCAGCCCTGAATGGAGATGCGGACCCCTGTGGAAATCTTAGACATAGTCTGCAGACCTCCAGCGGCCCAATGACCACAGCTTGAAAACCACTGTTCTATGGTAACAACAAACTTTCATGGACCCCTTAGACCAGGGGTCTCAAACTCAATTTACCTTAGGGCCAGTGCCAGTCCTCAAATCCTCCAATAATGTCACTCATGCCGCCCAGAACCCGCCCCCCAAACTCTGCCCCCCACCTGCCTAAGGCTCTGGGAGGGAGTTTGAGTGGGAGAGGAGGTCTGTGGTAGGGGATTGGGGTGCAGGCTCTGGGAGGGAGTTTGGATGCAGAAGGGGTGAGAGGTTGGGCTCTGGGAGGGAGTTTGGGTGGGGGAGGGGGTCTGGGGTGCAGACTGGGAAGGAGTTTGAGTGCTGGGTGCAGGCTCTGGGCTGGGGCAGAGGGTGGGGGTGCAGGAGGAGGGGGTGGGGTTGCTGGCTCTGGGAGGGAGGAGGGGGGATGGGTGCAGACTCTGGGAGGGAGGTTGGGGGTGTGTGGGAAGGGGGAGGGGGTGCAGGCTCTGGAAGGGAGTTTGGGGGCGGGAGGGAGTATGTGGGGAGGGGATGGGGATGCAGGCTCTGGGAGGGGGCCAGGGGGTGTGGTGCTTACCTGGGGCTCCAAGGCGGGGCGTGCTGGGGGGACTCCGCCCCCGCAGCTTCCCATTGGCTGCAGGGGCGCTTGGGGTGGGGGCAGCATGTGGAGAGACAGCCCTGCCCCGCCCTGGGGCAGCAGGGAGGGGCCAGCAGCCACGTGGAGCGAGCACGCAGGAAGCCGCTCAGCTCAGCTCCGCTGCCGGTGGTGGCCAGGCCCCCAGGTCATTTTAAATTGCCCGGGGGATGCACGGGGGAGGGGGAGTGCCCGGGGGCGGGACCAAGGGAGAGACCCGGTCCCAAAATTTCTGGAGCCCTGCGGCCCACATTGGGGAGGTTCTCAGGCCGCAGATGGTCCGCGGGCCGGGACTTTGAGACCCCTGCCTTAGAAATAGTCTGCAGACCCTCAGAGGTCTGGGGACCACAGATTGAGAACCACTGCCTTAGGTAAAATCGTGGGTGCTCCGGGATGTAATATAGTGGAGGAGAGATTCTTGACTGAGTACCGAACAGATGCTCTAGCTTACAATTAGAGGGTAGCTGTGTTGCTAGGTGGGCCATCTTCTGGATGAGAACAAAACCAGAGATCTAATCAGTAATCAGATTACAGTCGGCCAGTTCTGTTCCACCTTCCTAAAATCCCTCCTGCAGTTCCAGTTGGCTATGATATTCTGCCTCACTTCTCATCCGGAACTGCTACGTAGCGTAGCATTGCTGTGCTCTTTTGAACAGCTGCTGGGGCTGCATTTCAGTGGTGGGCAAAGTGATCCATGTGGGGATAGTGCCTGCTCCTGCAAACCTTACTCACATGAGTAGGTCTATGCAAGGTTGGTTCATGGTTGTATAAAGCACTTTGAGTTCTTGTGGGAGAAAAGGCACCATGGATGCTCTGATGAGGCTACTAAAGGATACAACCTCCTTTGAATATATGGGGATTTGTGTACAGTAATGTTAATGTGAACTGCACATAAATCCAGGTTCATTGAGATGAGCTATAACCCTGTTAACACGTCCCATTCATAGAATACCAAACCAGAGTAGAGCAAGCCATCTGACACTGAGCCAGGATAATCAGCCACTGCAATTCTGAGATTTCTTGCAGAGGAATTTTCCTTGGAGTTAATCAGATCAAATGCATCAAAACATCCTCCTGCATGACCTACATAAAATGTAAAATTGATTCCTAAATCCTGCTTTCACAAACCACAGCATAAGCATAAATATCACAATGCATCCTTGGCTGGGTGGCTATATTGAGCAGAAAATCTGGCTTGGATTTGTAACCGGAATAGCTTTTCCTTTTGCTCCTAGTTGCCTGGGGGTCTGTGGTTTGGGATACCTCAATACTGCCATGCTGCTGCTGTGGACTTGGTACCAGCTAGATTCTGGACCTAGGCGAAGCTTGTGATTGGTGTATCCAGGGAGCAGGCTTGTTTTTAAAATACAAACATCTGGAGGTCTGTGAGCTTGTTAGCTGAGCTCAGCAGTGGGGAGCTCATCATTAAAGTGGTACCAGCTGTGAAGGGTAAAAAAAAAAAAAAAAAAGCCTTTCTCGGAGCCAAAAGGAACAAATATAATTGAAAAAGCAGAAACCTTTCATGAAACCCCTCTTGTTTTTAGAGAGCAACTCACCAGTTCTGCTAGCCAGATGGATGGAGAATCCCGCCCATCGAATTCCTCTCCTTCCTCTCCATAACCTTCCAGATGCAGTCATTCTAGGTAGTGCTCTTTTGAGGGGCCCAAAATTCCTGTATATTGCACCGAGCCAAGACAGTAAAGCTATATTCGGCCCATTTCCTTTCTCATTGTGGGCATGGAAAAGCCCCATTTCAAAACTGCAGGAAGATTGCTCGGATGGGTCTTAATAGGTCTGTGCCACCTCTCACTTCTCTGTGCTGTGAACATGTGACAGCTGCATTTGAGAGCCGCAGTTGCCCAAAGTGGCTAGCTCTTTTCTGGAAGTGACTAGATTGAGTGTGGCATTGTGAGTAATTCAGTTACTGCTGGAGGGGGGAGTTTCAATGACCTTGCACCCAGCTTCGTCTCACACCGTTTGCTGCCTCAGTGCATCCCCTTGAAATGGAATTAGATGAATCTGTGGTGAGGGAAAGTTGTGTTCAGTCTTGGGGTTTATCTCTTACAGATGTCTGTGTTTTTTACAGTTATAGCCGTCTGTGTTTAATCAAGGCATGCATCTGTGTGGGTTACCTCTAGCACCCTATCTGTAAAGACTTAATGTGTTTTCACCGTAGGAGCATGGGGAGGGGAGGAGAACTAAGCATTGCTTGAGTGTCACTCCTCTGGCTGTATGTGGAACTACATTCAGGGGATCTGAAAGGAAATGTGTCTGTTCCTCATTGGCTAGGCAGATGGCAGACCTTGAAAATGAGGCTGGAACGTGGGAGAATTCCCAGAATTCAGCAGTGTTGTGAAGAATCTGCCCCTTTCCTTCCTTGGGGGAGAAACTTACGATAGGGTTAACAACTCTGTAATACATTGATTCCAAGGCCATGAGGCCCCACTGTGATCCTCTCATCTGCCCGCCTGTATGACACAGGCCAGAGAATGTCCCTGATATAAGTCCCATTTGAAGTAGGGCATATTTTTATGAAAAACGTCCAGTGACTTGTTTTCTGTAGGGTTCTGGTTGCTGCTTCTTGCCCAGTGCTGTTGGCGCTGACTCCGCATGCTGCAGCGTTGCCAGGAGCTGTCTAATGCGGCACTGTGATTTATGGCTGTTGCCTTAAAAAAAAGTCTTGTTTGTGTCTTATGCTCCCACACTCAACCACCTTCCCCCCAACTAAATGCTGCACATTTCTGCCATGCTCCAGGAATTAATCTCACATTATTATTTTTCTCTTTCCAGGAAACTACTTTGCAAGTCACTTTTTCATGGGAGGTGAGAAGTTTGATACCCCACATCCCGAGGGTTACCTCTTTGGGGAGAACATGGATTTAAACTTCCTGGGGAACAGACCCGTTCAGGCAAGTTCACATGTGCTGTTAATGTCACATCTGTATGTGTCTGTCAGTAGGAAACCCAGCTTTGATACTTACCCAGGAGGAGATTGAGCATTGTCTTGGAGCTGGTGCACAGTACTAGGGGATCAGGATGTTCCATTTCTGGCTCTGCCAGTGACTTGCTGTGTGATCTTGGGCAGTGGTATATTTGTGAGTGGGCATCTGGTATAAAGCCCCCATCAGCATGGAGGATGCCATTTTGAGAACAAAATGGCATCCTCCATGTGGCAAAAGTGCCATCCTGCCACAATCCAGCCCCACTGCAGCACAGGTTTTGGGCAAATCACATAGCCTGTCTCTGCTTCTGTTTTCCAATTTGCAATATGGGGATAATGCCTACCTCTCAGGTGTCTGACAAGACTGTAAAGAGGTCTGAGATCCTGGCATGGACAGCAATATGGAATTGCAGAATGCTCTGTTTGGAGAGAGATTTTTTCATCTCATGATTGCTTTGGTATGAACAGGAAGTAACAGTGCTGCATGGTTCAGTTTGTCACGGGTGACAGCTCCTGACTCTCAACTTTGGCATTTTATACAAGCTTCCAAGCCTTATGAACAGCCTTGATATGAATAGCCTAATTGCCATTAGTTCTTTTACCCTTTAATGCAGACTGCTGAGCTGAGTAGTTCTGACCTGATGTCAGCACTGAGGATGAGAGACACTGATTCCCGTATAGTTACCTTGGAGTCACTTGTAAACCTGTTGCACTGCAATAACCTCCTGGATTCTCCTGCAGGGAGGTTTTAGACCTGGGAATAAATTCAGTGCAGGCTTTCAGCCAACTCCCTGCTGCCAAAGACCCTGTCCAAGACCTTTTTCTTTTCCCCTTTGTGTGCACCTCTGAGGCTATTGGTTCTGACTGGGAGAGAAAGTAAATTGGTCTCTCTTGAATAATGACAGTAGTCTTGGTCCTGGATTTCCCCATGGGTCTTTTCCTCAGACTTCCCCCTTTTGAGCAGGAGAAGAGCTCAGGTGGCCAAACCTAGGCTGTAGTACTTAGGAACGTGTTACATTCCTTCTTATCAAACTAAGGATGGAGATTTATTTTAGACTAAACAAATACCAAACTTTCCAGGAGGGGAGTAGAAAGCACAAGCATGAAGAGGTGCCGCCTCCTGCCTGTGGCAGACAATTTAACAGTAGATGTGCATGAGCTGCGAGGTATTTAAGAGATGGATGTCTGGTTGTGGTGAAAAGTGCTGCATTGGGACAGCATGGGCAGCTTCAGGACAGGCTCTGCACTGTGTCCTGCCAGTGTGCATACACTCTGCTGTGGGAACTGCTGCTGAGCTGGAGAGGACTGATTAGTCTCTCTGGCCTATTCAGCTTGAGTCTCTCTACTGAGCCTGCCAGCGGGATTGCTGGTTAGTGCCAGCTGTGGATGGTTGCAGCCCAGTGTTGACATAAGCATGATCTCGGACAGTGTGGATGTTTCTTGTATTAGATAGGTTGCTTCTTGTTTAAAGTGTTAATTCTCAAGCTGGTATATTAACAAAGCAACTCCTTGCCTCTCATTCTAGTTTCCCTATGTCACACCAGCCCCACATGAGCCTGTGAAGACGCTGAGAAGTTTGGTGAATATCCGCAAAGATTCTCTACGTCTTGTGAGGTACCTTTACTGACCAAACTGTTTGTTGCGTTGAAGGCAAAGGGTGGATCATACCTACATTTGATGGCCTTCTCTTCAGAGCACTAAGTGACAAGTCCTTATTCCAGTGACGCTCCCAAGGGAGGTCAGAATATTCAGGGTTCACATGTGATTAGTGCTGTCCAGGGCTTTTCAGATAACTCCCATTAGTTATTTCCCTAGAGTCGGGTAATCAGCATTTCCAACCAGCACTGGGGAGGCATCTTTCTCCAGAGGCCGAGTAGAGCAAACGCTGCCGTGTAGGAAGCTGTGACACTTGGGTCTCACTCAGGAACACTAAAACAAATGGAAAATATTAGTCATGTCACTAAACCTGCAGACAGATTTCTTTCTGAACTTTTGTGTTTGCAAAGCTAGAAGTTGTTTTTGGTGCAAGGCCCAGGCAAGGAGGACTGATTAGTTTTGAATAAAACTCTGCCTCAGATTTTTCTTGCTGGCTAAGACACAGTGTAGTCCCCACTTGATCCACACGCTTTTAGGTGACTGTATCCCACACTTGTAGGGAAATAGATCATCCAGCCTAACGGGTCTATATCTCACTGCTCTGCACCTAAATCGAATGCAGCGATAGCTAGAGTTTGGTCTGTGGATTAAACGTAGCTGTGGAGTGTCTTAACAATCAGCCTGCGGCTGTACTTGTTTAATACAGGTGTAGTGCCTTGGGGTAGATCTAGGTCCCAGCATACAGTCTGAGCAGCCTGGCAGCTGCATGGAGCATTTCATACAGCCCCTGGAGTCTCTGTGCAGTTTATCATTTTATGGAAATTTATGCATTCCTGGCAAGTTGCCAATTTCAGGTCATGGATGGGCAAGGTTTGGGTGCCTTGGTATAAACTGTATGGCAGTGTAGTTGTAGCTGCTGGGAGCTTAAATTTATTACTTTGCTAGACACTAACAACCATGGACTGCACAGACACCAGATTTATGGCTTATTACAACAATCTGTAACCTACTAACCCCCTCTTTTTGTACTATGACCACCTTGAATGGTCATAAGAACATAAGATATATGCTAACTACTTATGCTAAACACTCTGTTCCACCTTGCATTTTGCTGTGACACTAGGAGTACCTTTTCCAGCCCTGAAGAAGAGCTCTGTGTGGTTTGAAAGTTTGTCTCTCACCACCAGGAGTTGGTCCAATAAAAGAATTTGCCTCACCCACCTTGTCTGTCTTGGTAGAAAAGGGATTAGATTAGCCAGAACGGCACTTGAAACTGATCAACCTTGTTTTTCTTTGAAAACTCTGATTTGTCTTTTTTAATGGTCAAAAACTCAAAGTGATGGTCTCAGAATGAGCTGGACAGGTGGAGAAGGAAGACGCGCCTGCTCAGATAGTGGGCCTTGATAAACGTCCACGTTCTGAAGATCTCTGGGCTCTTCCAGCCAAAGGGTATGTCTGTTTCCATTGAAATAACACCTTAGTTTCTGCTTCCTCTGAAGCCAGGACTCGCTCTGTAAACAGTGTCTTAGTCCTCTAGGAAGCATACGTTAGCAACGCACCAGCTCTCAGATATGCAGTCTTACATCTGTGGAAAGGGCCTGCTGCTAGTACAGGAATTTGTAAGTGCTAATCTTAGCTCTGTCATTGGCCTGCTGATGGACAAGTCATCTCCCTGCTTTGTGACTTAGTTTCCCTATTTGTCAAGTGGGGAGAATGAGATTGAGGGGGAGTTGAGGCTGCATTGCTGTTTGTAAGGTGCTTAGTGGTGCCACAGCGATGAACCCACGTAGATGCAGGTGGTAGCACTATCTGCTTTCAAGAGTTGGCCTCTCACATGGCAGCCAGTCTTACTGGTCCTGGGTCAGCTCCAGAGCACGGTCAGCGCTGCGTTGTTTAATTTTCTATTGAGATCAGTATGTTTAGGAGTTCTAGTGACCCAGATACTTAAGGAATTTTAACACTTAAGGGTTAGCAGTCTTTTTCACAAGGGAACAGTCTCAGTTTGCATTGTGCTGCCTGTCCTGAGTGGAAGTTCGACCCCTCTCTCTAGGAACATGCAAAAGCCCCTCCCTGACCTCTCCAGCAAGGGTTTCTTTGTGATTGCAAACACGGAAAAACAGCCAGTTCATAGTTCTCTGGAGATTCTCCTCTTCTCTCCCTCCTGTCCCTGTAAAATGAGGCTGAATTTGGCTCACTTTTTGATGGAAGGTGAGATCTGACTGTAAAATTCCCACCAGCTCTTTGGCTTTCCCTGGCTCTGGATTGTTAGCCGGAGTCTCACCTGTCTAGAGGGCGAGGTGATTCTTCTAGATTGCAGTTCAGAGCTTTGGTGGAGGGTGTGAGGAAACTTCCACTCTGGCTCCCGGCCATGCTGTGACTGGTGAGCAAAGTTCAGAGTGTTGCCAATCCTGAAGTATTTATGGTGGTCACCTGAAGAAATTCCACACTCATGAATGTTCCCGCCTGAACCTCTGTGTCTTTGAGAACTTTTGCGAATTCCTGATTTCCTGCCAGGACCAGACTGTGTTAACTTCAGAAGGGGCAGGGGTGGACTCTCCTGTTGAATGTAACCGAGTCAGATGGCCTCACTTCCCTCCTGCCCTGCCACTTCATAAGCTGACTGTGAGTTCCTGGTAGGAACTCTGCCAGCTGCTGAGTCCCCACAGGAGACAGAACAGCTGCAAGCACATTGTCACCATGCAAAGTCCTGGGAGTCAAATGGCTGAGGAAGTTTTCTCCTCTTGGTGCTGTGAATAAGTTTGAAAGTAAGTCAGGAAGCCAGCGTAGGTCAGCAGCTTCTAACCTGGATGGCATCTCCAGTTCTTGGAGGGAGATTCAGAGTCCTGAGGTGCATTATGTGTGTGGAAAGAGGCCATCTCGTGGTGGGATCTTGTTGCCCTCTGCCGCTGCTGCTTTCTTTGGACTTATCATAGAACTGGAAGGGACCTTGAGAGGTCATCTAGTCCAGTCCTCTGCACTCAAGGCAGAACTAAATATTATCTCTAGACCATCCCTGACAGGTGTTTGTCCAACCTGCTCTTAAAAATCCCCAATGATGGAGATTCCACAACCTCCCTAGGCAATTTATTTCAGTGCTTAACCACTCTGACAGGAAGTTTTTCCTAATGTCCAACCTAAACCGCCCTTGCTGCAATTTAAGACCATTGCTTCTTGTCCTATCCTCAGAGGTTAAGAAGAACAATTTTCCTCCCTCCTCCTTGTAACAATCTTTTATGTACTTGAAAACTATTATGTCCCCTCTCAATCTTCTCTTCTTCAGACTAAACAAACCCAATTTTTTAAATCTTCCCTCATAGGTCATGTTTTCTAGACCTTTAATCATTTTTGTTGCTCTTCTCTGGACTTTCTCCAATTTGTCCATATCTTGCCTGAGTTGTGGGGGCAAAGGGAGGCTGCATGGGAATGCTGGAAGAGGCAGGCAGTATACCGCTTGGGAGTCTGCCCAGAGCGATTTACCTGGCACTTGCTAGCAGCGAATAGTTGCTTGTTTGTAATTGAGGCCTGCACCTTTGGGCTGGTCTACACTGGGGGGGGGATCGATCCAAGATACGCAACTTCAGCTACGCGAATAGCGTAGCTGAAGTCGAAGTATCTTGGATCGAATTACCTGGGGTCCACACGGCGCGGGATCGACGGCCGCGGCTCCCCCGTCGACTACGCTACCGCCGCTTGCTCTGGTGGAGTTCTGGAGTCGACAGTGAGCGCGTTCGGGGATCGATATATCGCGTCTTAACGAGACACGATATATCGATCCCGGATAAATCGATTGCTACCCGCCGATATGGCGGGTAGTGAAGACGTACCCTTTGTCGCATCACCCTACTTCTGTAACTCGGCTCCTGCTTCGTGGCCAGCTCATGCTGAGAACCGACAGGCCAAGGGATAGAAAGTAAAACTCCTGCTGTCCCCAAGAGAGAACTTCAAGGAAGAGAGACAAGCAGAGGAACCCATGTTGCAGTGGGTGCGGCTCGGATCAAAGCAGCCCTGGAATGTGTAGGTGCTCAGCAGAAAATCAACTGCCTATGCATCTCTCATTGACAGCACTGGGAGCTGCAGGGCTATTTCACCCCTGTGTGACTTCATTTAACTTGGCCACACAGTCCTGTTCTCCCCTTCCTTCGTCACACATAGCATTTGCTTCTCTCACTTGTATCACTTCTGGAATCAGGTGGTAAGCTCCTTGGGGCAGGGATCAGAAGGGACCATTAGATCATCTAGATATCACAGGCCATATTACATTGCACCCAGTTCCCCTGTGTTGAGCCCAATAGCTTGTTTTTGACTAAAGCATCTTCCAAAAAGGCAACCAGTCTGGATTTGAGGACATCAAGAGATGGATAACCCACTACTTCCTTTGGTCATTTGTTCCAATGGTTAATTACCCTCACTAGAGGAAAGATAGTTCAGTGGTTAGGGCACTGGCTAAGGATGTGGGGGACTCGGCTTCAATTACCTGCTCTGTGATGGTCTCCCTGTGTGGCCTGGGGCAAGCCTCTCAGTGCGACAATTTCCCATCTGTAAAATGGGGATGATGTTTCTCCCCGCCTCAAGAGGTTTTGTGAAACACATTGAGATCTGCTGATAAAAGAAGCTCTATAAGAAATAGACTTTATTATTGTTGTTAATACTGATAAATATTTGTGCCTTATTTCCAGTTTGAAATTGTCTGGCTTCAGCTTCCAGTCATTGGTTCTTGTTCCGCCTTTCTCTGCTAGATTAGAGAGCCCTTTAGTACTCAATATTTTCTCCCTGTGAAGATACCTGTTCACTGTAATCAAGGCACCTCTCAATCTTTCTTATAAGCTAAACAGATTGAGCTTTTTAAGTCCCTTACTCTAGGGCACTTTCTTCAGCCTTTGAATCATTTTTGTGGCTCTTTTCTGCACCCTCTCCTATTTTCTCAACATCCTTTTTAAAATGTGGACCCCAGAACTGGATGTAGTATTCTAGTATCAGTCCTGCCAATGCCATGAAAACGCTCTCCACTCCTTGCTACT